TCAGTGGGCCACACACTGGAGCCCTGTGCTGGAGGTTGGGGTGCTGCCTCTTGCTTTCAGAGGGGGGTGGCAGCGGTGGAGAGGGGGTTGTCAGTCAGGGCCAGGGGTCTGTGTGATATTAGCCGTCTGCCAATCTGGCTCGGGGAATGGACACCGAGTAATTACTCCTGCTCTTACTGCCTCATCAATCTCCCTGTATCACTCCTGCACCCCCAACACACACTATCTCTCCACAGTCTCTTCTGCAAAGGAGAAAATACATTGAGTGGCATGACGGCACAAAACACACGCCTGAAAAGCCAATGAGATAAACCGGCATTGCAGCCCCAAATATTAATATTTATAAGATTGGACTAACACGTACTACTAAATTATAACCACGGCCAACAATATACATTACCAATCTAGTCTATCAGGTCTATGCTAAATGTATGACTGATGTTAATGTTTATTTCAAGGTTTTGCAAACTGGCTAAAAAAAAAATAAAAATAATCACTTCTCATCAAACTAAAAAAAGGTAATTAAAATGATCTGAAAGCTTTTGTCATTCTGTTGTAAATATTTTGCTGTCAGCTTTAATACAACTGTAACACAATTGTAACCAAACGTAATTGAGGTTTTAATTAGTAATAAAGGTTAACTGTTTACCTGTGAATAAACGCATCACAAGTAAGTGGGAATTAGCAGTCTTCTTCTGGTGTTTTTAATTACACGCTATAATTGAATTAACATGTAACTGATGCCATTTGGTTTCTTTCACTATTGTAATGCGTTCAACAACTGGGAGGCTGTGCCCAATAGCAGTGTTATGCAATCTAAAACAACAAAACATTGTGCTTTGTTATCTAAATACTGTGTTTCATTCAATTATTCTGGTTAAATTACATTTAAAACAATAAATACAAGTAAGTTATGTGATATCACATACCACATCATGATTTTCTATTTGATTATATTTCATCTCATCCTCTCAACTAGCTTTCAATAATAAGTTTCTGTAAATAAAGAACACAAGCTTTTAACTAAAAAAAAAGCATCTTAAGTATGAACTGTGCTCCATAACTGCATGCTTTTACTGAGATAGAACTAGCTGCACATATACAAGACACATATTAGAGATGACTCAATCTGAATCAGTTAAAATTTATTTAATTGCACAATCCTACAAGCAATGCAAGAAACTGCCTTACTTTTCCTGAAGGTTCTGACCACATTTCAGTATTAAGTTTACCGAGTTGGGCGCATAATGCAGTTCATCCATCTTGTCAAAGCTGTAATAGGATGTGATGATAGGCTGTCAGTGAGATGCTTTGCCAACATACAAAGCTATATTGGTTCTTGTGATGCCAATTTGAAAATCTATTAAGTTTTTCCAGTTGTATATTTTGTTCAATTCACTTACATATGTCACGGGCAGTGCAGCATTACACCCTAAATTTGACTTTGATACATGTAGGGCTCTAGTCGACTATATTTGACTAAAAAAGGGGTGTGACATGGTGCTGGCAAAAGCTCTCTACTATGTTCACAGAGAAGTACCAGTAAATGCCATCTTGATAAATGAAAAGGCAGTAGTAATAAAATAATAAAATAATTTGTTGACTAATAAAAAAATTATCCGCTTCGCTTGGTCAATTATATGCTTGGGTCATTTTAATCAAGAGGTCAGAGTTCAGACTTTGGAGGAAGAGATTTGACTTTGTGGTTTCACATCACTTGTTAAAAGTGTTTAGGAAATGAATATTCAGTGCCATTTTGATTTGTTTATAATAAGAAAAAACAGCGACGAATAAACATGAGTAAAAAATTGTGATAACTGTCTTTTTGCTGTCACCAAATCCTAACTACAGTCTTACTTGTATGCCATTCACTGCTAAATATATGCAATAAAGTTAGTAGCATGTTTGATAAGATGCTCACTGTTTAGTTGGTTTGCCTTTTTTCCACTGAAGTCAATAAGCTGCATTATCCTGTAGTTGTTTATCAGACAGCTTATCAAGATGAGCAGCAAGTGATAAGGTGAGAACTCTCCCAGGTTTAAGGGATAAAGGTGGTACGGATTTAAACTTTTCTGTTGTCTCCATAAAAGCCTTTAAAATATACTATAAAGTTACAGAGAGTTATAATGTGACACAACTGACAGATCTGTCGTTTTTGTAAAAAAGGAGAGAAATGTCCAGAAACATGCACAAAGTGAATGTAAAAACTTTTGAGTGTGACTGCAATGGCTTGTGGGAGATTTTGGCATAAGCTGTCCCACTGCACCAAGAGCTATTTTTACAGCAAATACTCCAGAGACAGAGGGAGAACAGAACTGGCTCTCAACTTTGATCGTCCCTCGCTGCGCTCAAAAGTACTTAATGTCTGTTTTGGAGTTCATAAAATATTAATGTAATTGAAAGCAGATGGGAATCATGTTTAACACCAATGCTAAGGACAACACAGGCTCTGTTTTTAAAATTGCAGAAGGGGAGGAGGGGTTTCGTACTGGCATTTCTGAAGAACATTTCCTTTACAATGAAAACAATCTAACCAACTGCAGCACTCAAGAGGAATCTACCTCCCCATCCCCCACAGCCCTCCTCCTCCTTCTCCCTCCCTCCCCCCTCCCAGAACCATTACATTACCATATCAAAGCCCTGAGTTCAGAGCAAGTCTTCTCTTTCAAGAATGGGAGCGAAGGCACAGAGAGCGGAGAGAAGGGGGAGAGAGGAGAGGACAAGACCCAAGACTCTGGTTTAGCTTTTATCCTGTTTTCCAATGTGCAGTGTGTATGTGGAGCAGTACAGTCACTAGTGAATGTTTATTAGTGGAGAGATACTACAAGACTACTGATCGGGTCATGTAACAATTCACATTCCACTGGGACAGAAGGGGCCTATGGGGGGTCTAGGGGAGCTCTGAAATGCCTAAGCAGGTACACACTGCAGATGGCCAGCAGAACCAGATATCTCTATACTTCACAATTTTCAACTGTGAATGCTTCGTTAACCCGAGATCATACTGGGCGATTTTTCAAGTGCGTCTCCCCACTGTACAAGTATGGACATTTTCTCTGGTTTGCTAGCAGGCTAAATGTGAAAATCAAAGTGAATGGCATTAGGGTAAATAAGACCACTGGTTGCCTGGGAAACAGTGTACCCAGCCCCACTCACTCAAGCCTAGCCTTTACTTTTGTCCAATCACTGGAGAGCTATAATACATTATTGACAGAGGGCCACAACAACAGGCAGGCAGCGCAGCATTTTCAAATTGTGTTTGAACAAGACAGGCTTGGTATTAGAGGAGATACACAGGGCTAGTGGTGATTGAGAGAACGCGCTATGTACCCACTAACACAAGGCTAAAAGAGACTCGCAGAAGGGAGAGGATTCAAAAAGGCTGCCCCATTCCCACTACCATAACCATCAATCTGCCAACCAGGCCGGGCCTCCTTTGAAATACTGGCAGAAAGCTGACTGGAATAACTAACAAGAGGCAAATAACGCACTTGTTTACCCTGAATAATTTAATGACTAACTGCAAGCAACTGAATGAAAGAAATGCTCTATGTCTTTTGTGTTAGTCTTGATACAATACGCTGAACTACTTCACAGTAACATGGCAGCACTGGATCACAAGGGATACAGGTAAAAGCTGGCCTTAGCTGCAGCTGCTGTAAATTGAATATGATTTACAATGTGTAACAAGTTGTAGCGTATGCCTCAAGTTTCAAATGACCTGATCTGCTAAAATTAGTTTCGGCTGGGCAGTGTAAAATCTGGACACAGGGCATTCACAGGTAAACTTTCTAAAAAAAAAAAAAAATTTAATTTACAGTGATTATAAAGATACTGAGACACTCAGAGACACTGATTTCAGTACAGTGAATGCAATTTTCAACAAAAACACAGGTATTTTGAATAATATAGTCTTTTTCTAGTTTTGATATAGATCGAACCCAGGAAAAGTACAGATTTATGCAGTTTTCTTTTTATCAGTACTTTGAGTATCTAGATACCAGTTCTAGTATTGATTTTGACAGCCAAACTGGTGCTTACAAATATATATTCTTGACAAATATTTTCATTACTCTTACTGTTTATATTTTATTTCATTTGCCCATATTAAGATTGTAGCTATTATTCTGAGTGAAAACTAACTGATAGCTATACTTAGGGGCAATTGTAAAAAACATTTTCGTATAAAGTTTTGCTCAGTGCTGGGTGCTTAACACAAAAGGGTGCAGTGTGAACTCACCAGTCTTCTCTTTGATCTCGCAGAGTACGCTGAAGAGGGCTGGCTTCATCCTGTGACAGTTCAAGGCATGCTTCCTGTAAAAGAGATGGAGGAGTGAGAAAAGCAGAGACTGAAAAGCCGCACAATACAGAAAGCACTTTTATGTCTATGTTCTCTTATGTAAAAGTGTAGAGGTTGAATGTATTATGGGTGCAACCAAAAAGACAAAAATCTGTCTTTGTGAGGGCTTTATTATCCCTGGTTCTTCGTGATGACCTGCCAATGGATGCTGTCATTATGATGCTTTGCACTGGGGGACAGGTAATGATGCCAAACCTCAAGGTCATCATTACCGGGCACCACATTCCACAGTTAATACTGGCTAATTTAATTTTTTCCCCTCTAGTAGAAACATTGGCTCCCCACAAATAAATGGTGTGCTGGATGAGGGGATTGGGTTGACATGTTAATTTGATAAGAAACATCCAGTTTATTGCCCGATTCCAATAATGAAAAAAAATGTTAACTTATTTGGCAGCACAGACTCAAACGGAGAGATGACATCAGGATACGGCAATCGCTCAACTTTCTGTCACACACAATTAGGAATGTTAATTAATGAATATAAATTATTGCGTGAAGTTTTTGTGTTTTGATTGAGGGAATGAGCTGGAGGTGTGTTTGACACCCAGTGCTGAAAGTTGATTAGGAGCACCACCATGTAAGGCCACCCTCTGTGGGATAGTCCAATCCACCCAAGAGCGGTCCAGCATCAGAACATATGGCAACAGAGTGACAAGAGGAAGCTGTGAGGTGTCCAGAATTTAAATCTTCATCAGTTTTTTTTACCTTTTAACGTAACGCTTAAAATATGTTGTAAATCAGCAACTATTCATATAAAATCACTTGATGTCAGAACCATCTTTAAGCAGGTCACAATTCTGAGTGACACTTCTCCATCATATGCCCCGTCAAATGTAAAATCATCTAATAACAATAATAGGAAAGTTAAATAAACCTACTGAAAAGGTACATGACAGTAATGCATTTCATGTTTATGGTAATTAGCCAACACAAAGTTGATATTAGATGTGCAAGTATGCGTATTTGTTCATTGTTATTGTTCAGCTCTGAATGTTATGATGACTATAAAAATACTTTGGAACAAGCCTTACACGTGTTCAGAAAGAGTTGGAGTGAGATTGAGACATAATTAAGAGATCAAAGTTGGGCAGAAAATGTAATATCCAGTGTTCATAGGCTGCCAGTATAGCATCATCCCTCCCCCTCAGCACCATCTCATTAATAGAAACTCGATTTGCGGACAGCTGCACTCGCGTACACATTATAGGAGAATTGATTGCACCCAGCACACAATGAAAAGGATGAACACCAGGGAGGGAGGGAGTGAAAGAGGAGTGAATTAATTAAGAGAACCAGGTGGTCAAATGTTGGGTGGAAAATCACTAGCTAATGACACATCACACTGTGGCCACAGTCTTGCACTGGACAGTTGTCTATTGTTGAAATACTGACGCTTCTTCCCAAACTGACCTTATGCTCTTTGAGCCACATGGCAAATGAGCGCAGGTCATTTGCACATTGTGGCGCAGACTACGTAATAATTATTTGCAGAAATGCCTCTAATGCAAAACTGAGGTTCAAGTCTTGAATGATTGCTGTCATCACAAACAGATGAAAGCAGCCATAAGAGTAGCCCTTATCTTAATTTATAGACATTTCAATAACAAAGTGAAGAGTAAAGTTATAACCATCTTTTTACAATAAACACAAATTTAACTATTACCGTGTTATTAGAGAAAGTAGACTTAATTCCCACCTATTTGTAGAAATAAAAAATTATAAATTATAAATCATACTGTGCACTGTCATAGGGAAAAGTTAAAATAAATAAGGTAATGTGACTTGTGCCCAATAAAAACTCAAACTGTTAAAATGAGTTCAAAACTTTTTCTCAGTCCAAGTGGGTTAAAGCTGAAATAACAAAACTTTGGCAAATAAAGGGCCATGTGAAGTAACAAAGAGTCTTCTACAAACTGCACTGTTATGTTGCAGTTCAAGTTGTTCACTCAACATACTGGTTTAACAAGGGATCACAAGAAAAGGGTAGATGCCTTTATAAATGTACAATTACGCAGATCCCGATGGAAACATCGCATAAAAATAATATCCCTGTGCGTATACACAAAACCAAAGTGCTTTCTTTCGTAAGTAGAAAATGGCTCTTACCTGGCCTGCGCTTCGTCCAGGCTTTCGTCCGTGATAGCCATTATTTGCTGTAGGATATCCCCAATGTCTTGCTGAGGCTGGCCAAGAGACTGTTTTCTGACCGCGTCTGGGTCGCCGACATCGGCTTGTGCTAGTCCACTGAGTCCGGTCAATCCCGTCAGCATTCTGGTCTGGTCATCCATACTTTCAAAGAAAACTCGCCGTTTTCTTCAGTCGAAGAAAAAACGCAAATAGCTAGCTTACGAGCTAGCCAGCAAAGTATTTTCTACTGCCAATCATACAACACCAATCAAGTCTTCCGGCAGTAGTAAGCGGCAAAACGCAGAAAAAACGGTTATAAACCAAATCACATAAAGTCGCTTTACATTCGCCTGTGATATCTTTATCTGAGCCAGCAGGCTAATGCAAGCTAACACCGAGCGAGAGCGGCTAGGCTGGGTAGTAGCTCTAGCCCAGCAATGGGAAGGCAGCAGCAGGGACGCACATGCACGGACAGTGTAAGCTCGCCAACAGCGCCGCGCACATTTTCAGAAACAATGTGAAGACGGAAAACGGTGCCGACAAATAGTCCTCCCGTAATAACACAAGAATAAACGGTTCGTGACAAAAATGAAAGAGTTTTCGGGCCGCCTAGCCCCAACAAAGACGCTCCTACCAAAACACACTACGGTTTGCCATTGTTGTTGATGTCGCGGGAGTATGTGGGATGTACTGAGCTGCGTTGACCATTGAACTCATAGCAGCACAGAGCGCAGGTCTGCGGGTGGGTGGACCGTCAAGATGACTGGGCTGTTAGTGATAAAATCCAACCGACATCCAGAAAAATGACATATTTCGGTGATTGCAGATCTAACACTAGTTTTCTTCTCGATTTCTTAGCATTTTCTCAGGTGAGCTCCTCTCGCACCGCCTTTATTGGTAACACCTCCCTGCGTCACCAGTCCTTTCTTTCATATTAATAACTTACAGTAGGCTGGATGAGATAGACAGCTCCTTCTTTATTGTAATAGAGACAGCCACTGTTAGCAATCTAAACCAACTCGGAATGCAGGCCCAGGGTAGTTTAAAGTCATTAGTTTATAATGGCTTTATAGCTGCCTTGCACAGATGCAGATAATGTCATAAGATAGCAATAAAGTTTACCTCATTCATTGACTCACACTAGTGCCACTGGGTTGGTTTTACAATGTATTTTTCCACAGTAAAATGCCCTGTGCATACTCATCAATCATTCAATTTTGATAAAGCCAATGCTATTAAAATTTGATAATTAAGTAACTAAAGTAGTTCAGGGTGGATTCATCTTAAGAAGGTTGGCCTTGTATTGTGCTCCTCAATCCCCCATGAATGAAACATCCCATCAGTTTTCAGTATGAAAATGTTGACAGCACAGATTGAAAACAAGTGTCCTTGTTTTTTGCAAACCTGGCAATTCTGCAGTAGTTTATCACTCAGATCAGAGAGACAGCTTTCCAAGACGAATGGCTGGATGGATGGATGTAGAGGAGAGCAGCAGCCCAGTGTTCCTGTACTGAGGAGAGATGATGGGTGTGCATGAGGGAGTACGACCAAACTGGCACTGGTTTATGCTGACTCTCCTCACATCCATCTACTACAATCTGGAGCTAATCAATCTAAAGTTAGGGACAACAGGAATAAAGTATAGCTACAGTAAACCCAAACAGTAATTGTTCCTTGCATGTCAGTATAAAAGGATTTTACGGTTTGTAGTTCTTAGAGAGGGCAATATTTCCCACTTCTACCCCTTTTATTGGGACAAACACATCAAATAAATGACACATTTGCATGACACCAAACCAAATGCTTATGTTGCTTTTAACAAGGCACAGTATATGGACTGTTAAAGCCATTTAAGGTGTCTTTCTTATACAGTTTAATGTAGAACTGCTTGTTACCATATCACCCCAAGGGCATTATCAAGTCAAGACTTCCTAAAAGTGAAAAGGTGTCATTGGTTTTGAAAACTTCTTAAGGTTTTATTGTTAGTGATTCATTTAAGGGTCATCTGTGAAAGTTCTTTTCATTTGGATGCGAAGGCTGCCCTCCTCTCACCTCACGAGCATCAAGCCTCATTTTCATCTAAATAAGAATCGATCTCTCCTGCTGGGCTCCATCCTCCCTTTACTCACAACTCGCATGGTCATAACCCCACTTGTCTTCCCTTAGCTGGTGCTTGTAGCCTCTAGTCACTGCCTTAAATATTAGCACGTCAAAATCTCTAAATATACCTGAAAAAACATTAATTTGAAAACTATTAAAATAAATATCCAGTTTCACCATATGCATTTCTTTAAATGTTATAGAATGGCTTAGTCTTTGTTGAATTTTTGACAATGGCATATTACATTTTGAGTATAACGAATTCATATATAAGCATATTATTGTCAATGAAACACTATTGTTTTGTTTTTCTGTTTCAATTTTTCCATTATTAATCACCTTTTCTGATACATTAGTAGTTTTATTATGATACTGACACTGTTACGGGCATCTACAGCTGTAAAACTCCAGGGGGAACAAATGGTGTATTAATATATATGAGAGAATGGTTCCACAAAGAGACAGAAATGATAGCAAACAAAGCTTTTGAGTGACTGGTACAATGTCAAAGCTTCGTTCTGCATCAGTGCTCCAGCCAAACGCGAGATGGGGGTGAGTCACAGTGGGGGAGGGGCCTGCTCCTCAATGGTCAAGGGACACCGATGAAGTGAAATAGATGAGACACCAAACGGCAAATGTGACTGAAGATGAGCGCGTAGCACAGTGAATTAAATGATAGCACTGAAGATATTGTTATTGTAATGTACCCGTTTTCATTATAACAGCTGTATTGTGCTAGTGTAAAATCAGATCATATTGTAAAACAAAGTTAGACATTTAGATAGCTTAATGTTTATTACTATTAATAAATATTATCAAAGTGTCTGGAATTAGCAATTTACATTTAATATGATGCCTAGTAATTCTAGGACCTACATATTATACATTAAGATTTTCTCTTGATTTTGATGCTTATCCTAAAGTTAAATTAATTTAATAAAATTGGTCACTTTGTTTACAGGTTAATTGAGCTATTTTTGTGGGTTGCGAAAGAAAAAAAATGTTCAGGGCCACCAACATGCTTCATAATTTGTGTAGCAAACAGCTGCCACCTGGTGTTGATCACAGGCATTACCACTGCAAAGAAAGCTAAAAGTTCCAAAAGAGCATTTATAAAAGGGATATTTTATTTTACCTACCACATTCCATATTTAACATATTAAAAAAACAAACAAGATAATAATAGTGGGATTCCACCAGTAAGTAGATAATAAAGGTCACACGGATGTCAAAGAGACATGGAGCTGTGGTCCATTGATTATTGATTTGAATCTATTGCATTGCAGAGGCCAAAGGTTGTGTGATTAGGTTCTTGACCAGGTCAGACGAAAGCTCCGGCAATCCGGACTCTGCAGCTGTTACAAAATATAAGCAATAATTAGGTGTATACAGACATTTTATATAGATATTTAAAATTTTAAGTATTTACCCAATTGCCCACTAGTCTCTTTCACTACCAACTTTGATTGGTCTCGAATAAAAAGAAGAGTTTTAACCATTTTGCACTGAGTATCCATCTGTAGATTAAAACACACAAATATTAAATTCAAATAAACAGGGCTATTCTTACATGTTAGCTTTAGCATTTATTCTGCACATTTCAGTTCTTACAATGAGGGCCATAGTCTGTAGCCTGGGTTGCTGTCTGCTGAGGACAAGGTTATAATCGGGTTTGCTCTCGATGACTTGATATTGTGACGACTGAGACAGGGATGCAGAGTCAGGTGTGATACCAGTTTCTTGGCCTTTTTGTACTTTCCTAAAACAAATCATACATTTTAGCAATATAATTTTAACAAAACTATTTACATATTCCAAAAACAAACATCACAGTATGAGTATCACCTACAGCTGCTTAGTTCATTTAAAGGCTTAAACAGCCAGGGTAGATGATGACCCGACTTTGTAAGGACTTATATTACTAATATTGCTTATAATCAAAATCTCAAAATGCTGCAAAAAGAGTTACTATAAAAATGGTGGGCAAAGTGTTGTCAACTTCTAAAAAAGGTATAAAACTTATATAGGCCACTCATTTACTTTTCCAACTTCTCTGCTTTGTCTCGGTGTTTATTCAGCAAAGTTTCCCAAGATTCTTTTTCCATCTCAAGTCTGAAATGCAAAAAAACTTAAGGTTAATGTGCAAATTAATATATTTAAAAATATGTAACATTTAAAAATGATAATAAAATATTCTGTAAAACACAAAGGAATGAAGTGCTTCAAACCTGCTGATAGCTTTCTTAATTTTTTCCATGGCGTTTTGAATCGATGGATCATCTGAACTAAAAAAGAATTATGGAAAACATGAATGCAAACATAATCATTTGTTTAACATTATCTATAACAATAAAGAACATGCATACCAAGCTCCATCACCATTAAACTGAGATTCACTCTGTATACGTTTGGCCAGGCAATTCCATTCTTTGAGCATTTTATCAACTGCAGATGCAGAAAAATGTAATGTTCAACAACAAATACTGTGTATTATATAATACACATAAATGTCTTTAAAAGTTTACTGAGAATACAAACCTTTAATTTGAAATGATTCCATAGAGGAGTGTGCTGCTGTCTGAAGAGAAGACTGGGTCCTATCAATGGCTTTCTGATTCAAAAGGATCAATAGGACAAAATTAATTTATTGAAAATGAATGGAAAAGGGATATTGTCTAAAAAGTCAAGTCTTAGAAATCATTTATTGGCAGTTCCTAAGCAACATATGACATAGACATAACTTTGACTTTGCTTTTACTATTTATATTGCGTATCAACTGCAATAGCACAACTCGTGTTAGACTGTGATATTGGACACAATAGCTCAAAATAACATTAACAAATATGTATTATTTGAATGTATGGCTTTGAAATGTGCCAAGAATTAAAATAATGCCTGTACACACTTGGCATAGGCTTAGGGAATGTGCAATAATTAAATCTGCACATAGGCTAAGGGAATGTACAATTAAAACTGCACATAGGCTTAGGGAATGTGCAATAATTATAACTAAAACTGCACATAGGCTTAGGGAATGTGCAATAATTAATGAAACAGAAGAATGCAAGGGCTTGCCTGTTAAGGATAATTTAAGGGTCCTGTTGGTGCATCACTCGTGGTCATACTGGCCTCATATTTACTTTGTTTTATGGTGTTTGTTTATGTGCTGCTTTGTGTTGTGTTGTCCTGTTTTTTGATAAAGCATGTTACCCCCTGTCCCAAGACAAATTTCTCCCATGGGAGACAATAAAGGATTATCTTATCTTATCTTATCTTAAAGATGACCATTACAACTCTTATTTCCACTTTGACTTCTCTGTTACAGTATTATCTATTACAGTATTATGAACATTCAAAATCAATATCAGTATCTGTATTCTCGGACTTACCTTCATTGAAGCCTCCATCAACTTCTCCAGCCTTTCATTCTGTGTCAAGGATGTGCTTATGCTTCTGCAAAGAACTGCACCCATACACACGTTTTTCCATTGAACACATTGAAAGAGTATAATGCATATGTCAATATATATGACCCTTAATCCTCCAAAATATTTCTGTCACTAGGGGATTTTCCAACTCTTTACCAACTCTATGCTAGTGGCGGAAACTCCACCAGAAACTTTACATAATGAATCTTATAAATAAAACGTTGCATGCACTTCTCACCTTGATATGGGTTTGGGAGGGCAGGGAGAGAGCGGCGGTTTATGGTGGCCCTTCTCCAGGACTTCCGTCTGTCTGGGGGACTTGTACATGTTTGTGGTTCACTGTTTTCACTCTCTAGCTCCTGTGTCTCAGTCTCTGGCCGTGCATCGTCTGGTGATGAGATGTCCGTGCGCGGAGATTTTGATGGTGGAGCGAGATTTTCGGAGGAACATCGTTTGACTGATCGTGTAGTTCCTTGAATCTAAACAAAGAAGCAGCATGTGTTAAAGACTTTATTACAAAATATATGTTATTGACAGCGTCTGTTTCTTACCTCCTCTTTCTGTACAAGATCAACAGCTACAATATTTGCTCCACTGAAAAAGAAACAACTTTCTTTAGACTACAGCAGATTCAAAAATCAGATTAAAGTGATAAGATATCGAACGCAGTTTGTGCTATTACAAACTGTTAACGTTTGTTATGATAACTTATGCAATATGGCAATATTTTTGCTAAAATACAAACCTGTCTACTTCTGACTCCGAATGTTTCTCCGCCATTTTTGTTTTAAATAATTACGTCACAGCGCGCTCATCTCTTCACAAAATGTTGCATCATGGGAAATGCAGTTTCAAGATCCATTATGCATCTTTCTGGTATTATAAAGGGCTACGTCTGAAAACCTTTGTTATGACATAGTATTGAACTGTATAAAAAGCATTTCTGGCCACAAGAGACAGTGTTACAATTACCCAACATCTTCATTCATGGGCTTCATCTTAGCCTTCAGCTTTCTGTTTGCTGCGACATTTTGAGGACTCTTTTAATTGTTTTACAGTACTTTATAAATAGAGTCTTCATTTTTCATAATTCCGAAATCGTGGATACACGTGGATAAAAAAAAAATGAGACCGCTGTGGATGCAAAGTGTGCAATTCACCGCCAGATGTCACCACAGAGTACGCTTCGCGTAGTTTTATTTTCTTGGAAAAATTAAAAATTCTAACACTTGGGGAGAGGCAACAGAATGAGAATAGGTTGAGAAGTTGTATCTTAGCTAATGTACCGGCTCTTTGATATTTATGCATAACCAAAAACATCATTAATTTTAAATAACAAATTATACATACACTCAAATATTTTTATATTCAAATATTTATTTATAAGTCTTGTTTCTCTATTTTTATTGGTTTTAAAGTGTATGTATATTGTCATCACATTTTTTTCCCTTTGCTCTCAAGTGGAAAAGTTAAGGTTGTTTTGCCTTTTAGTATGGTCAAGTTGCTGCATGTTTCTAATATTACAAAATACATAAAAAGATGTCAAGTCTTTTTATGAGTCTGTTAAGATTTTTTTTTTTTTTTTTTACAAAAATTAAGGAAGTATAGGAATCAATAAAGTCAAAAACACTTTGCAGTTCTTGTGAAGAACTCCTTTGTGCAATCTGTGTTTCATTCTACCTGGTACACACAATACTCAATACTGCCGTCTTCATAATGAATTTAGCAGTAGGTGGACAGAACAAAGAAAATATGGAAAAAAGTTAAAAATATTAACTATTGGACTGATCTAATGAAATAACACAAAGAAATAGTAAAGAGGAGCCAGAATAATAGAGGGGAACGGTATGCAACGCTGTGAGTGTCCCAGCTGTTTGTCAGAATCCCCATATCCAGTATATTTTTCCTCCTTTACAGTCTGGTTTATAAGGGCAGCGGTTGCTGTTGGCACTAAGTTCAAGAAGGCAGCCTGAGAGTTCCTCTTCCCAAAAAGAACTGAAGCACACGGTCCACCAACAGAGCAGCAACAAAGTCCACCACCAGAACCTGGGCAATGATGAATTTAAACTGCAGAGGAAACAAGTGGTTTAGATTACTTTATACACAATACACAGTTATTACTTCAAAAGAAATCTGCAGACCTCTGTTGGAATATCCACAAGAGCAAACTGTTCATTAAATTCAGGAGAAGATCCAGTCAAAAGTCCCACAATGGCCAAACCAGACAGAGCAATGCTCCAAAGTAAAGGTCGGTTCTCACTAAGAGACTCCATGAAAGGGTGACCCTGTGAGAAGAAGGAAATGTTGACCTTGTAATAGGTAATAAAAATGAATTTTTTTCAATGTTGAAAAAAAGTACCTTGTAATTTATAGCAAAGGTTGCCATCTGCATGGCCATGGACATGATGTAGACAGTGCTGTTGATTAGACTAGGCTCAAACTCTTTGTACAGATCAACAAACTGCTCCAATCTAAAAATAAATAAATATTGTTATAAACATATAGCAGCTATTGTGAATGAAAGATTGTGCAGTTTTTACCTGGGTGGACTCCTGCTCTGTGCTTCTCTGTATAGATAAACAAGACTACAGAAATGAACTGCAAACTGCAGCAACACAGTCAACACTGTGTAAAGATTGAATATGTTTGGCAATGGACGCTCTCGAGATAACGTTTTTAGAGGCTGTAATGAGACAAGACATGCATTATAATGTATTTATACACAAGAAATATGGTATTTCATATCAGAAAGCATACCTTTGACCTAGAAATAAAAAGAAAGCATCCAGCTAACAACAGACCCTGCAGAGTGGCCTGGAAATCACTAAACTTGACCCCTTCAAGATAGAGCACCGACTGACTGTAAGCCAGCACCAAGGCATTTAGAGCAAGGATCTTGAACATTTGTAGGGTAGTCACTAATGTGCAACGTCCTTGTTTTATAACGTGGCAAACTGTAATCAAAAATATATATTTATAGTTACTAATCAATAGCACGGTTAGGTATTGCTGTATAAGGGTTTATACTCACTGCACTGAATTGAAGAAAGTTTTGATGTGAAAGGGGCAGCAATGGATGCATCTCCTAATTTCACCACTTGTACTTGATCTTCTTCTAGTTCTCTCAAAACTTGACTGATTCTTTCCTATAATAACATGGTAATAAAATTATGGTGTTTTATCTCTTAATTTAGAGGGCTTCAATAATGAAATCTTAAACAGAAGTGTATACCTTTTGTGCTGCCAACTGCTCTTCTCTTTGAGCCATTATTCTCTGTCTGGCTGCTCTGGAACTGAGTTTTCCACCTGAACTGGCAGGGGGCGCTGGTCTTGGTTCTGCTAGTGGTGTGTCCTTTTCCCTTCCCCTTCTCTTCTTGTCAGGTATGCGCTCGGGTGCGTTTGCTAATAAAGCCACGCCTAAAAACAAAACACTTATGTACATAACCACATTTAAAAATAAATAATTTGTGTTTTGTTTTGTTTTTTTATACTTGTTACCTATGTGGGCATGCTTTAGTGCCCCAACATCATTAGTGCCATCTCCACACATAAGTGTCACATAGCCAAGTCCTTTAAGGCTGGTGATCACAAATTCCTAAAGAAATAGAATTAACTATCAAAATCTCTCTATAAGTAGTGGGATAAAACTTGCATTTCTTAACATACCTTCTGTTTAGGGCTGACGCGGGCGAAGACTTGTATATGAGGTAAGAGGGTGTGTAGTAAACGAGGCTCTTGGTTTAATCTGCTCAGACCTTCCCCAGTTACACAAAGATCAAACGTTTGCACGAGTGAAGAAATGGAAGGAGGGGGCATTGGTATACAGACAGTGCCATCAATGGATTCCCACTGCCATTTAGCTGAAGAGGTACAATTTCAAATGTGACAATTAAATAATTAAACAATATGGTAATTTATACATTACAAAGAACAAAAATACAAAACAAATCTTACTTTGTCCAGGAATCTGCTGTAGTACCAGGGTATGTTCTTTCTGAATAAAATGTAGCTCTCTTGCGACATGGCATGCAGTTAAGGGATTGTCTCCAGTTATCATCACCACCTGAGAGTGAATAAAAGAGCAATTATTTCTTCAAAGCATGAATATAATTGATATATATGAGGAAGCTATGCATATGTTTAAATATGAATTACATGATGAGAAGCCTCTTGGATCTCTCTAATGACAGCTTTACTGTCAGTCTTTAGTGGACAAGAGACAACCATAAACCCAGCAAAATGTAAATTACATTCCAGTACATCACGTCCCATTTCTCGAACCTGTCACAAATGTTATTTTATTAATACAATAAAGTCTGAAAGACATAATAGTTATATAATGCTTAAGATATAACCTGCTGATGACTGAGATGCCCGATCTCTTTGTAACCCAGGGCCAAGACTCTAGCTCCTTCTCGAGACATTTCTTTGTGCACTTCATCGTAAGTGGCTGGACATTGTGCAAACTGCAACAACAGACATCAAACAGACATTAATTTACATTTACATTTACTGTTATGTAAAGGAAAAGACAGCTGGAGTATAGAAAATGTAGTACCATTGGTCTCAGGGTCTCCGGAGCTCCTTTGACAGTGGAGATGTAGCAGAGTTCAGTAGACCCTAGTTTCTCATAGGAGGCCAGGACGGACATTCTCTTCAGGGCACTGGCAAAGTGGAAGCGTTGGTGAATTTTTAGTCCTTGTGTTTTGATGCCACGAGGAAATACCTTTTCATCTATTAAAAAGTAAGTAAAAGTACACATAAAATGATTATCACTTTAAAATAGGTTTTACTAAAACTTATTTTAGGATGTTAAGATAATGCTTAGTTTATGTAATACCTTTGGTGAGGGTCCAGTCAGCAGCAGTAAGCATGGCTTTTTCTAGTGGATCTCCAACCAGCTGCCCATCATCGAGAGTGACCAGGGAATGGCATGTGGCCACCACTCTGTGTGTTTCCACAGGTATCTCTGAGACTGGCATCACCTCCTTTCCCGTTCTGTCACACACAAAAAATGTGAATACTGCTAATAATACCGCATGTCTATAGTCATAAACATCACACTAATTTCAGCACTTAACATACTTGAGTCCTGCTACTCCACGTACCACCAGACTGTCACTGGTTAGTGTTCCCGTTTTGTCAAAACAACATACTTCAACTTTCCCAGCAAAGGGTATTCTGAATGGTTCTGTACAAAACACATCTAAAAAAAGATAAAAGAAAAAAAACATTAGACATAAAGTGCAGAGTGAAATGCCAAACCAAGTGCTCAGAGCAAAACAAAGCCTTACATAGTTTAGCCAGAGCTATCAGAGATGTGTTTACTGCCAAGGACAGCTCAATGGGGAGTTCAGGTGGAACCACCGAAGTGAGGATCAGTGTGCATTCCAAAAACAGTTTGTAACGGTTTCTGCTGGCATCCTTGGTGCCTAAAAGAGATAGTGTTCAAATATTCTGAGGCATGTGGGTTATTTTTAAAAATGTTTCATAGTTTTATGGGGATCTTACCTTCCACCCACACGTAAACAGCTGCAGCAATGGCAAACACCAGTAGAAACAGGATGAAGATAAAAGTCTCCAGGTTGTTTGCTGTGACTCTTTTCACTCCGAACAGGATGGTTCGTAAAAGTTTACCCTGAAGAGACAATTTCACTTTTCAAAACAAATGCTCTTATTGGTCTAATCTAAATGTGTACACTGAAAGTTTCACCTGTGATGTGTAAAATCCAGTTCTGAGTACATAGGCCACACAGCCATTGTCAACAGCTGCAAATAAACATAATGTTACAGCTCATATTAACGATAAACAAATAAGGAAGTAAGTTGGAATTGAATATAGTTACGTTTGAGTCCAGCAGTAGCTTTCATAGGTGGGCTGTGCTGCACCACTTTTGTTCCTCCAGAGATTATATGAAGCCGAGAGTCAGTCTGGAGATCTAAGATTTGCTCTGGATCCAAGTCCTCGACAGGCTCCTGAAAACATAAATCGGTTTGATCTAAAGTACAGACACAGCACAGATCCTGAGTAGTTCATCAAACCTTCATCTGTGGCACTGACTCTCCTGTTAGCATAGCCTCATCCACAATACACCGGCCTCTCAAGAGCAGAACATCACAGGGAACCAAATTGTCCTGTGGTGATCTCCCTACATAAAATACAATTTAAATCATTTAACACAATCAAAATATTTTGAAATATCTGTATAGTATACTGACCTATGGACACAATGTCACCAGGGACAAGATCGTCACTTGAAATAGGTCTCCACTTTCTATTACGATAAACCTGCACACAAAAGCATTAACATGGTGATTTGGTCAATGTTTGGTTAGAACACTGTTCAACAGTGCCCAATCAGGCATTCATTCTTCTAGCAGAGATACAGTGCTTCAAACATAAAACATTGTTGTTGTTTTTTTTTTTACCTGAATCATGTAGGGCTTGTTTCCCATGCGTCGTATCTCAGACATATTTCTCATTTGCTGCTGAACCAAGGAAGCCTCAAAAGCCACCAACATGAACAATGTGAAAACGCTATAGTACCAGTACTCATCCAGACACCAAAGCCCCACACAAAACACCTATAAATGGAAAACATAAGTAAAAAAATTGACCCAATATACAAGCAGATATTATCGTTGTTAAACCTGTACCTGAAAAACAAAAAACGGGGCAGTTGCTCTTTCTTTAAATAGCTCCAGAAAATCTGGGACCACCATCTCAGCCTTGTTGGTGCCATAACGCTTTTCTGCTGCCCGCAGCTCTGACTCTTCTTGGTACCCACGCCAGGACTGGAAGTAACCCATGGGATGGTTGATCGGAAATGCTATTGGAAGAAAGCATTTCTTCTCTTTGCCGTCAAATGTGTAGCGAATTTTTTGAAATTCAAATGCAAGAATCTCCTCCCCATTTTCATCCTGCATGAAGAAGGAGTGGTGAATCGTAAATATTTCTCCATTACAATTCATATGTTAGTTTAAGAAACAGAACATTAGCAAATGCTGCCTTTCATTACTTCTTGTTATTGAGTGTATCTACCGGTATACACTTGGCACATTAATGACACGGCTTTACCTCTTGAACAACAACAGACAACAATCAAATCTACAAGACTGCAAAACAATACCATTACTTTTTCATAATATAATAGTGAAAAGAACATTTGTATTTATAAGCGTATTTTCCAAAATAGTTCTTACATTAAGTTCTTGATTGGACAGTATACAACCAAGAGGAAGAGTAATATATGCTAACCTGATCCCGCTGTAGTGCCACAAGCTCAGCTGAACCATTGTTGGGAGTGGGTATGACCTTTGCAAGTGTAGCCTTTTTAGGGTCTGGTTCCTGTGAAGATAAAACAGGTGGCATGATTCACACATTGGCTGGTCACTCTATATTGGTTATGGAAGTATGCCTGCTTCTTTCATTTGGATCTAACAAGATTAGTTTAAAAAGTGAATTATAGCACAGATTGGCATGCATGAAACAGAATAAGATGATTTAAGATTCATTAATAGCTGTAAACTGTTATCCATTTTTGTTTGACCTCTGTTTACATAACAATGTGTCCATTCGAAAGTTTTGAGCAGAATAATATATACTCTTTTTAATACAGAGTTGTTTTCTATGATGTTACCTTTGAGCATGTGAGCCAACAGTGCGCGTGCACTGACCAATAACCAGAGAGCGCGGTGAGGACGTGCGCAATCCCGATGGCCGCTAACGACAGGAGGCCTGCCTCCGGATACTCATTGGCACCGTACACTCCTAACCACACGTACAGCCACCCGGGATACAGAATAGCCAGGAATGGAAGGACAGTGCCGTGTAGAAACCGGGGTCTTCGCCTGTACAGAGTTACCGAGCTCACCAGCTCGTCCCCGGTGGCGCTGTCATGCTGGTTATGGTTTACAGAGGGGGCCATTTGCACCTCACCCGGTTCCAGGAGCCCATCTGTGTCTGATCTCCCGTCTTTCTTGACGTCGTTCATCGCTCTTTACTCACACCCCGGGCCCCTCTGTCCCCCTCCACAGCTCCGGCCCCCGTTACCTCTAAAAACACCTAAAAAGAAGCGATGCCAGGTCGAGCTTTCAGATTCCCTTTACTGAATCGCTCAGTCTGATGGAGGCTTCCGCATACGTCAGCGCGTTATGGTACGCAATCGACGTGAATCAAATCCGTGTCGTTCATTTGCCCATTTTGTACCATGTTTTGTACACATTTTAGTAAATCATTTTTTAAAAATAGAAAATAGAATGCATGGTAAAACAGTGTGATTGCCTATTTCATACAACATAATAATTGTATCATAAGATGTGTATATACCTTTAAAATCTCACTGTTGATAGGCGTTTGTCTTTGACAGACATATCTTGAACCAATCACGTCGCAAACATATCTGACACTGATCATGTTTTCAGCCAATCCTTGAGAAAAGGGGTGTGAGCGGTAGTAAAACGCCATACCCTCACATGCAGCTGAAGGACTAATGTTTTAACTTGTTTATCACGTTTCTTTGTATTGTTTTTTAAGGAACGCAGAAAATGTAAGAATAATCTGTTTGTTGTCTACGTATCTTTGGTATCTATTATAGAGCTGCGTGCTTTAGTCAATTGAATTCTGCCTTGATGTATTTAGTTTCTTTTCTGGTAATTATTGGGTAATTAATTGCCTTTTTAATTTTTCAGGCAGGCTGCTTTTGATATCACCACTAAATATTGCCAGAAAGAAATGGAGGCGTACGGGTCCTGTGTAGCTTCAAATCCATCGTCCTGGCAGCAAACTTGTCATGATCTGAAGATGAAGGTTGCACATTGCACTTCCTCACAGTAAGAAGCCCACATATGTTAAACTTTCGGTATTACATAAACATGCAGCAATCATATTATAATACTGAATTTAGAATATATTTTGTCTGAAGCCCAGTCATCCAGAAGATTAGACAAGGATGCTCTAAGGAGTTTGTAGACTTTGAGAAGTGCCTCAGAGAAAACCAGGACCGACCTACCTCTTGTTCCCCTCATGTGGCCCGGTTTCTTGCATGTGCAGAGACAGTGGATCTCAGTCAAGTGGGTAAGTCATTTTCAATCAAGACAGGTTATACTGTGACAAATGATATTCAAGTTGTTCCAATTAATATTTACATTTTTCTTGTTTTTCTTTTCAGATACAAGTGCAGTACCCCAGGCGTCATAGTAAAAAAAAATCAGCATATTTTGGCCAACATTTTTCATCTTTTTTATCATGGAAGGAAGCAAGGACATTTTCATGACTTTCAAATTACTTTTTGTATAGTATTTATTGTCAGTGCTAACAGCAAAATAATAAATGACAAGCTGAATTTGTTAACTAGTTGGTTAATTATCTGTATTAAATGGGCACTATGTAACTTTCTTTGTGTATGGTCTGTCATCTGCTTATCACCATAGAAATATAAATGATTTGAATGTTCCACAGTATGGTATTATAGTTATCTCTATCCATAGAGATAAGCATGTGACACCACTGGGTAAAGTTACAGATCAAATGAGTGGAGAGAGGACCCTGCTAACTGTAACCATTCTGGGAGCTTTTTGAGCTGTAGACTTATACATGAATAAATGATGAATGCATGCATGATAGAAAAGATACTGTGGAGCATTCCAGTCAGAGCAATAACATCTCCATAGAGACGAGCAGGTTGCGGACCCCTCAGATATATTAGGTTATATTAGATTAGTCATTATTCTTTCTTTAGTTGTGTTGGTGAATTGTTAATCTGGAATGTGTGGCTCCCACTCACAGATTCTTGGCCACTCATTGACAAAGGCGCAGGGAGTTTGAGAAGAGGAGGGTCAGAGGAGGAGGCTAATGGGCAGGAGCAGAGGGAGGATGGTGAGTTATGAGTCCTGTGACCACTGAGCTGGGCAATTTCAGGTTCACTTATCAAAGCTGAATGTAGTGTGTGTTACAGTGAGTTTTATCAAGGTCAGTACAATAGAAGTGTCGTATTTAGGACAAAATAATATGCACACATGTTTAAAAGGTGACACCGCACATTGTATTGAGGATACGGCAACATTACATTCAAAGAACATCACTGTCAGTTACTGAACAAACTTAGAGGAAACTTAGACCTTAGTATTACACAAATCACATTCACGTAAAGTCACTGTAAAAATATAGATCAAAGTTAAACATAACATCAGTGAAAATGTCACAAGCTGTAGCCACTCACTGATGCCTAAATGAGACATTATCTTGCTATTCCTATATTACTCAGCACCACATTGTCCGCTGAACGTGGTCCAACAAAGGTGCAGTTTTTAAGACCTACGCGGTGACACATAAATATCATGCTACAGATTAAATAGTTGATTATTACAGTAGGTACAAAATATTTAGCTAACAACATCTTATTGAGATGTTAAAGAAGTTAACTACAACAAATAATTATAACACAGTGATACTCACATTTACATTTTGTGCACATCGTAGTGCGCCTAGTGTCCTATGTTTTGGGGATTTAAGATCCATTGGTTCGATGTGTCTTTAAGACTACATTAAATGAGAAAGGGAAAGTAACAACCCTGTTTCCACATAAGGCATTTTAAATGACCCTGTCTGAAGATTTTTTCATATTTTTGGCACATACTTTTCTAAATGCCACACATTAAAAGCTAGAGAAGTATCTTGCGATGGGTATTTTAATTGTCATTAATGCAGTACTTGTAGTCAGTGGGCAGGCCAGCACAATATCCTGAGTATGAGCTCAGGCAACATAAACATACACACAAACCTGAGAGCAAAACTGTACACTAGTCCATACAGTCCTGAATAACCTGCAGTCCATCACTATAGTAGCACACCTGTTTCCAATATTTTACCCATTCAGTGAGTCTTTTTGTTAGTAATGAAGAGTTATTACTTTGTAATAGCAATCTACGATGGGTCTATTGTCTCATTTCCCCACGGCACAATATTATAACCAAACTGAGGTCTTTACATGTTTATATTTCCAGCATATGATCTATAGGAAAGACAGCTGAAGAATGCAAGAGTCTTATGCATGGGTATCATGACAAATTATTGGATATTTCTGTTTAAAAGCATAAAAATGTTGTTGTTATGTTGTTTCCGCAGCAGTGTCCAAATGCTCCGACTCCCTATAGCTGCATCTCTGAGGTGGAAAGTGGACTTAGTTTGAGGGCAGTGAGTTTATAAGGGTCAGGAGGTGAAGTAGGAGTTCTGCATGGAGTACAGACGGTCAATGGGGTTTCCCACACGGCCCGGCAGGAGCCCACCATCTCCTGCCGCTAGGAGGCAGTCTCCGAGGTGACCGAGGCTCCCGTCACTGTCGAGGTCATGGAATACCGTCTCAGAGTCTGCGGCGAGGAAATAACAGTTTTACATTTAGACCTTATTCTCACACTCACAGAGTGAAGGGTTTGATGTATGTACATTTTTAATGGCCTTGGGGTTTGGCACACATGGCTTATAGTCAGTCTCAACATGTCCCAGCTCTGACAATGTACAGAAATATATTTGCTTTTTCCCTACTTCATACTTACTACTGTTTTGTACAATACAGCCCGTGACCTCAATGTTGGAGAAAATAAAACAACCTTAGTTCAAGATTCACTATAAAGGATATGTGTGTTTTGTAGATCTTCCACTTCATTTAAACATTTTTTGTGTAACCATTATGCTATAATCTACTGTGGTTCTTCAGTCAGTCCAGAGCTGTGGGCTTCCATGCATATTCCATATCTAGAACTAGGTTTGAAATCTGCAGAGAAAGGCCTGGGCCGGGCAAGGAAGTAAATGGGATCTTCTTGCTGTGAGGCAGGAGTGCTCAGCCACTGTGTTGCCTCATTCACTATGCCGCTGATTGCACTGCACCTAAAATGTTCTTGCATTGAAAGTTCATATAATAATTTATTTGTTTGTTCAGTTAGTTAATTTTCACAAAAGAAATGTATATCCTCCATTATTATTTGTGGCATGTCCTGCCATGTAAATATATATTGTTTGTCTTACCATAGGGATGAAGTTGCTCGCTGCCCAGCTGAGGGGGTGTAAGACCGTGCCGAAAGGACTCCCCTCCGTAGATGTCCAGGGCAAGTAGCTGCTGACGTGGCAAAGAAGGATATCCCAGGATACCATCCATTCCATGGGTACTAGAGCCGTCTTTGTTGAGACAAGAATCCCCCTCAGTCAAACTAAATTAAACGGCATTTTCTTTTACCTCAGTGTGACATTTGAAATTCTTACCCTCGCTGTCGTCGTTGCTCTGACGCCCCCCTCGGCTCGGCCCTCTCCGGCTTCCTCCCAGCTGCTCCTGCTCCTGCTGCTGCTGCTGTTGTTGCTGCTGTCTGCGGGCTATTTTCTTCATCTAACACACACAAGCACCCACATTTTAGTTATCATCAGATATGCCCTTGTGTATTGTTAAAGGTGCACTGTGTAACTTTTGCTAGTGAAGGGTCTATCACCTGTTTGTCTTCATGTAGAAGTTATTACTTGGAATGGATTTAAGTTATCTGCCTCCACGGTGATAAGCAGGTGCTATGCAAACCTGCTCACTGTAATAATTAAGTTTTAGTTTTCAAATTAAAAAAGATAAGTTTAAATAACATACTGTGGATCACTCCATGCAAAGTAATAACATCTTCATGGAGACCAGCAATTGAGGAACCCTCATCAGAAACATTACATACATGACATAGTGCACCTTTTACTAAATATTGTTTGTAAAGAAGGTGAAGTCTGACCTTGGCTCTTTGATTTTGAAACCACACTTGAACCACACGCACCGTCAGTCCCGTCTCAGCGGCTAGTGTCTCTCTCACCTGCAGGGACACACAGTAGAAAAACCAAGCAGGCACAACATTAAGATCACTGTCTATAAGCAACCCAATAAGTAAAGTACCGTAGTTGGTGTTCATTCTTCAGCACTTCCTAAGCCAGTGCTCCTTTTCTTTAACCACTTTAGAAGT